CAATCCATAAATGCCATATCCCACTGGGGAAGGGAGTTTCTCTGGTGGGGAATAATGAATCATAAATCACAGAATTGTTTGAGTTGCAAAGGGCCTTAAAGATTATCTTGTTCCACCCCCTGCCACCTTCCACCTGACCAGGCTGCTCCAAGACTCATCCAACCTGGGCTCTTGTCCAGAACTTCATTCACAGAATCCATAATCCTCTTGGATCCTGATCCAGAGTCTGTGGAGATCACCCATTTTCTCTCCATCTATTACAGTGGGACTTGGATCAGGTTTTGCAGTAAGATTGAGAAACTCAATTTAATTTTACTTCAATAAATTTTGCTTAATAAACTTCAATGGGAGTCTATTCCAGCCCACTAAATGCCAACATCTAGAGACTGATCCCATGAATTTTGGTGGATTTTTGTCTCTGATAATCCACAGACTTACCTGTGACTGAGTTACATCAAGGGAACTCCAAAAAGGCTTAAATGGATCCTGATTTCCAAATAAACTCTTGGCTAACCCAACACCTTTATCATGAGACATTATTTCTCTTCAATTTTATTCCTAACTGTTCACTTATGGATTAAAATGTTCTTGAAGTTTCCATGTTTTGGGACTCAGCTTGCAAATGAAGATATCTTATTTTCTAACTTTATGAAGGTGGTTGATGTTTCCCACTGAGCTTTCCGGTCTCATAATTATCTTTTATCCTGTCAGCCATCCTCAGGCACGTATTGGATACCCTAGAACATGTCAAATTGTTCCAAGAATCTACATTTAGACAGCTGCTTTGAGATGATTGACTCTGTCATCAGTGAGAGTCAGGCATGTCCAAGGGGGCATGTTGATCTGGATCAGGTGAACTTACCTGTCTCCCAAAAGTATTGGCTGCTCTCCACCAAGAAGCTTTGATTGTAGATGATGAGTTAGAATCCTGTGTGATGAATTAATGGAGAAATATTAGAGCAGGGCATTCTCTTCTCCATCTCCTTCAGGTGATTGCCAGATTTTAAGGATTTATAATCCATTGCCTTTGGGTTTATTTTAAGCTAAATTGTGGTGGGATTAAATGCTGTTTTCTCTGAATATCCTAGCATGGCTGCTCAGGAATCTTGCTGTGGCAGCCTGAGGGAAGTGGGGAATCAGTTTACCAGAAGAATCTAAGGTTTTACTATTGCTTTAATATCACAGAAATTATTAAGGTTGGACAAGACCTCCACAATCATGAAGATCAACCTTCAGATTTATCACATCCCCCTTCAGCGGCATTCAATTTTCTCTATAAACTGTCTGTGAGAGCTAAAACAGATAAGAACATTCACCGTCTTGTCTTTCAGTTCCGCTCCACTTTTTCTTAACTGATGTCTCCATGAGAATAACATCCACTTCTACAATAGAACACCTAATCACGTTGTCACTTAGTTTGGAAAATACTTCTGGAGATCATATCATCAAACCTTCCTTTTCCTCCATGTGTTGGAATTCACACTGTTTTCTGCAGGATCATTTCCACCTCTTACCTAATCTGAACAGCAATTCAACATCAGATTATTTTCTCAGAATTTAATCTCATCTAATATTTCCCCTCTTTCTCTGAGGCATACATGGTTCTGAAACAGAAATAGTACGGTGTCTGCTTTTCACCATGGTCCTACTGCCACATCTAATAATCTCTTTCTCAAAGTTTCTGACTGATGTCCTGTTCCTTCTCCCAGCATGAAAATCTCTGGCAGAAATTGCGTGGAAAATACGTTACTCAAGTCATAAAAACTTGGTGGTTGTTGTGTCCAAGAAGAACAGGATCACTTCTCTTGCACAATAGCAAAAAAGAGGCTGGAGCCCCTCTGCTCTGGAGCCAGGCTGGGAGAGCTGGGGGTGCTCACCTGGAGAAGAGAAGGATCCAGGGAGAGCTCAGAGCCCCTTCCAGGGCCTAAAGGGGCTCCAGGAGAGCTGGAGAGGGACTGGGGACAAGGGGTTGAAAACACATGACAAGGAAATGGCTTCCCAGTGCCAGAGGGCAGGGATGGATGGGATATTGGGAAGGAATTGTTCCCTGTGAGGGTGGTGAAGCCCTGGCACAGGGTGCCCAGAGAAGCTGTGGCTGCCCCTGGATCCCTGGAGGTGTCCAAGGCCAGGTTAGAAGGGGCTTGGAGCAACCTGGGATAGTGGGAGTTGTCCCTGCCCATGGCAGGGAGTGGAAGTCTTGCAGCAGAATGGGATTTATTTAACACTCAGAATACATTCAGTTGTATTTAAAACTACCAATGAACAATGAATATAACAATGAAGCATTACAAAGATGGACCTCTGGAATTATTAATTCAAAGAAATTAATCTAAGAAGGCATTAGGAAGAAAATTTACATTATAGACATGAACACAGCTAAAGTGCTGTTGATGTCAGAAATACTTCATACTACAAATACAGACTATTTTAAATGACATAACACAAGTGTATTCCTTATAAATGAAAGTAGAAATTCCCTAATTCAGCTGGCCCAGCTCCATGGGTCCCTGACTCTCTGTCATTAGCACCATCTATTTTCTGCACACAGCACAACAGTGATGAGTGTGATTGAAATATCTACACCCAGACATGGAACCACGTGAAAAAATGTGGGCAAAAAATAGCTTTCACTGAAAAAGATGTCCTTTACAAATACAAACAGTTCCTAAACTTAGTGGGGCTTGAAAGACAGATTCTTTTACTTTAGGAACAGAACATGTTTTGTGTCTATTTTTTTTTTCCTCTCCCTCTTTTTCATTTTCTCTTCTATTTTATCCTCATGTTTGTTTGTTTTGTTTTTTTTCTACTTGTATAAAATCAGGGGAAAAGATCTCACCAAGGCAATAAAAATAAAAAAGAACAGGAAAAAAAAAAAGCAGAAAACAAAGAAGGAAATTAAATATACAGATGGCAAAAGCACACTTGAAATATTTATTAAATTCTAGACTTCCTATAAACTTTTAAAGTGAGCTAGAAAGATGTTTTCATTAGGACGATATAAAGATGTTTTCTTTAGGAGTAGATGGACCAAAAGTGGAGTGAACAAAGGCAAGCTGAGATTTGTGAGCTATTTTTCTGTTTCATGGTACCCATCACATGAATTTGGCATTTTCACTGCTTTGCAGAATTTAATGAAAGTTTCAGTGAGAAAAGCTCTCTTATTTTTGGGTTTCATAGCAAGCTGGATAGGCCTAGAACACAGGTGTTGTTGTAACACAAACAGAAAATAAAAAATAATGGGAAGACAAAGGGATTTTTACTGTATTCCCACTAAAAAGTTGATGCCATGTGTTTTATTGTAACAAATGTTTTCAGAAGTGATTAACTGGATCTAGAATGTGCCTCCATTTATCTCTGTCCTGCTCTTTCACCCTCCACACATTTATCCTCTCATTTGCACCAGATCCAGCATCAATCCCTTAGTGCCTCCCACAGTCCTGGTGGGACATCCTGGAAAACCTCAGGAGCATTTCACAAACTGAGGGCTTGGGCTCTGAATGGGCCCTGGTTCCTCATTCTTGGCTGTAACAATATTCAGAGGCCGAGCTCTTTCCTTCACGAGCTGTTATTTCAGGCACGTGTGACAGCTGCAGAACTGTCATCACTGCTTCTCTGAGGTTCCTTATTTTGGTTCTCATTAGGGGAATGATGATTAAGTGACAGGGTGAGGTCAGGCTGCATCGTGCTGAGCCCAACACCGGTGCTGGCTTGGTGACCCATGGCGGGGTCTCCTCTTGTTGAGGTCTTCCCTACGCCCTAGAGATGTTCTCCTGATGTAGCAGGCTGAGGAGGAAGGGACATCCCACATTGTGGAGACACACAAAGCTGCCAGAAATTGGCCACTCTAAAGTCCTCTCAGACAGCAAGAGAGACTTCTCTTTCTTTTGAAAGACATCAAGTAATTTACCTGAGAGCTCAACTTCAGTCTTTCAAATGAGAGGTTGCAGGAACAAGATGGAAGATGGGTCCAGGATCAGTCTGCCAGTGCTTCCCACAGGACTGATTCCTACTCTTTGAGCGAGACAAATATATTTGGGTAAAAGCTGGATAGGGATCCGAGAAACCTGCTTCACCTGCTTCACCTGCTTCAGCTGAAGATGTCCCTGCTCATTGTATGGGGTTGGACTGGATGGCATTTAAAAATTCCCTTCTAATTCAAACTATTCTAGGATTATACAGTTCCACGAGAAGTGACTCATGAAGGAGTTGGTGTGTGATCCAGGAACAGGTCATGTGGTGAGGATGAAGGGTGCAAACCTGAGTTCTCATGGAGGAACAAAGATTCCTTCACAGGCACTTCCCACACTGGGGACAATGCCCCTCACTGTCCAGCACTGAGGCAATACTTGGGGTTATAACTGAAGCAGTATTTGAGGGAATATTAGGGGAAGTTACAATTCGTGTCCCTCTTCCTCAGCAAGAAAAGGATCAACTAAGGGACAAAACTAGTTGTAGCATTTTTCATGTAATAAAAGCTGCCCCATACAGGACCTAGAAAATTTTAAATGTTATAATTCTCTGTAAGGCAAACTGAAACACCTCCAGTTCCACCCTCTTCCTCACTACTATATGGAAAATGACCAAATTTTTTCCAGAATATGTGAAATCTCGTATCATACATAATAAATGAAATCTATTCTCTCTTAGGCAATCTCTCCCAGCCCTTCCCTATCTTAGGAAATCTGATCAAAAAATAGCAGAGCTAAACTTTCTATGGAGGAATTCTCCAACAGGCTCTGGTAGACCCCTAAGTTCTCCAGAACCACGTTTATTTTCATTGAATCACAGAATATCCTGAGCTGGAAAGGACCTACAAGGGCCATCAAGTCCAACTCCTGGCCCTGAACAGGAAAACCCCAAAAACACCATTGCATGCCTGAGACCATTATCCAAATACTCTTTTATGTAGGCCACAACTCATTGTCAGTAGATTCCAGGCCTGGAAGGACCAAATTCTTCTGTCTGGGCTCACGGTGCTCCACTTGCTGTTCCCTTTGCAGATCGACAGCATGCAGGCCCTGCTCCACTGCCCCAGCGTGCTGGTGTGTGTCGGCCGGGAGCCATTCAAACCTATATCCATGGAGAATTTGAGGAAACACTCGGTGGAGAAGCTGCCCAACCTGCCTCCCCGCTCCAACAATGGCAACAATGTCAACGAGAACAATGACAGTAAGAAAACCTCGGGGCCGTGTCGCGCAGCCGTACCCAGGCCTGTGTCCCACAGCATGGGGATTACGGGCCCCTATTGTGCTGCCCCAAAGTACAGATTTCATGTGGAAAATGCACTTCCCTCTCCCTGCCTCCCAGGCCTTTCCATCCTCCCCTTCTTTTTCTCTGGTTTCCTTCTAGGATTTCCTCCCTACAGCCCCTAGTCTTTCTTTTACATGCTCCCCATGTCTGGCTGACTTCCCTTCCTCTTTCATATCTCTAGGTCTCCTTTTCCTTCCAGAAATCCCTCCTTTCCTGTGTCTGTCCTCTCAGACCCTTGAGATTTCCCACGAATCCTCTATCCCCTCGTCATCTGTCCTATCATGCCTTCACTCCTGCATTTTCCTGCACCAGGACCAGAGGGTGCCCTGCTTCTGACTCAGTTTCTCCTGCAAGTTACAGCTGGCCTTTTGAGAACAAAGTGTGTTTTAATGGAAAGATTATGTTCAGGAAAGAGTATGTTATGGATTATTCAGGATTATATTTCTTTGGCACTCCATCATGAGTTATTTAAGGTCACAGGTAATTAAACCAACCACCTTCAGTAGCTTGGGAAAAGAAACATCCCAATTCCAAAAGGCAATTTATCTCACCTCTATTAAGGATTTATTGTAGGATGAAATTAAATGTGCCCTGGAGGTGCGTCTGTTTCTCTTCATTGTCAATACCAGGAGCTTGGAAAGAATCATTTGTGTGTTGCCAACAAGTTGTAGAAACTCAAGGACAGAGGCATCCTACACTCACTGTTTAGACATAAAATATTGGAGAGAAACATGGGAATAAACTGGAGCTTTGCCCATAAAGAGACTGAGCAAATCCATCAGTTCAGTGATTAGGATGGTCAGGGAAGAGCTATTTCAGCTGATTTCTATGTGCTCCTGTTCCACTTCCTTCCTAAAATTCCCTCCAACCAGCTGCATATCCATATGCCCATGGAGGCACAGGATTATCCGGATGTATGTACGAGGAAATTTTGGACAAACATCTACTCGAAACAAGACAGATGAATCTCTTGCAAGACAACCTGATAGCAATGTATTCTTCTTGAAATGAAGGAACCTAAACAAACCTATGCAGATCACCGCACAGGCAATAAAAATGTTCTTCCAATTGCAATTCCTAAATTCCCTTATTCTCCTTGATTTCTTCTACAACTCCCACTATTTCTCTTTGTAATTCTCACCAGCTTACAATTCATTTTCTGTTTGTTCTTTATGTTTTAATAAGAATATAATTATTCTTAGTGGCACATCCCTGCAGGGACTGGGTGTTACTCTGGTTAAAATGGCCACACATTTCCTGGAATATGAGTGGAGAAGTGGATGATGCATAATAAATGAGTGGTCAGCTAAGGAAGAGGGCCACTTCTCTATGTATTTTTCCCTGGTTAAATAAGAGGAATGAAAACCTCCACAGTTAAATAAAGGAATATTTGCAATGTGATAAAATGCACAATCTCAGAGACTAAATTGCTGTATATGTGTATGTGTATGCATATGTATATATAATTTTTCTTACTTTTACTTCCTGACACGCACTTAATAAAACAAAGTGTTTGTGGTTCAATTTGGTTTTTAAAATAAAGTTAACGTGTAGAAGACTTTATTATAGATTATTAATTCAAAACTTAATATTTAACAAGGAAGTTGGACTAGATTGTCCCTTCCAACCTTAACTATTCTATGATTAATGGACATCATGAAGTCAATAACAAATTTTCAAATTTTGTAAATTGGCATAGGCTTGGCTTTAATGGAATAACATCAGGATTCAATAGTTTGAGGGTTTGACATATATATATTGTCATCTTTATATGAGTTAACATCTCTCTCCATCTTTCTTTTCTTCACTCCAGTGAACTTCGGACTGAAAGCCAAAAAAAGCGTTATCCATCCACGGTCAGCATCCAGCAACAGATCGATGAGATTTTCCTTGTCATCAGAAAAGTCATACCCCAATGGCCTCGTGGCCTCTCCAGACAACGGGGCACCCTTCTCCAATGGCTGCTCTCACCCAAAAGCTGGGGACCTGGTCCAGTCCTTGGTCAACGATGACATCGAGAAGCGGGTCCATGTGAACAAGGATGGGAGCTTGTCCGTGGAGATGAAGGTTCGCTTCCGTTTGCTCAATGATGAGACTTTGCAGTGGTCCACTCAGATCAAAAAGTCCAACCTGATGAACCGGCTGCCTTGTGAAGAGTCAGGAATGGAGGAGGACAGTGGACTAGATCCCCTACAGAAAATGAACCCAGAAGCCAGCTCGGAAGCAGATGATTCTTTATATCCCTGTGATATCGATTCCTACATGTCCAAACTTGAGGAATCAGAATGTGACGAGGCCCACTGTCACAGCTGTGGAAAGAAACACCAGGACTATGACATTTGGAAGAACCCCATGCACATGTCCCAGAGGGAAGAGCCCAGCGTGCGAAGCACCTGGCACACACGGTCGTCATGCTCCAGCACATCTTCCCGGAGAAGAGTAGTCCACAAAAAAATGACATCTGTAGATAGCATCCACACCACATCCAGTGAGGAATTCTCTGAGCACATTGTGAGAGAGTCCTCATCCTACTCAGAGACTATAAAGAACAGAGTGGCGTATCGATCCGTTAAAAAGTGTATGTGCCGAAGTGATTTATCTACCGGTGCTTCCAATGGAGAAGAACAGCAGGAATACACTCAGACAAGCACAGGAAACAGCCAGAGGCCTTCATCCTTGGGCTTGATGTCACATTCAAGCTGTGAAAACAACCTGGATACTCAGGACACCCCTGAAGACCAGGAGATCACCAAAATAATTTCACAAAATGAGGATGCAAATTGTTTTGAAGCTTCCTCTGTGAAGTGCTTGAAGGATGAGGAGGAAGAGGTTGAAAGCAGCAGAGTTGGGAGTGTCATGTCCAGGTCATCTCTGCAGTCCAAGCAGAGCAAGAAGAACGTGTGTGAGGAAACGAGCAGCGTGGGCAGGAGCATGTCCTCCTCAAGCCTTCAGAAGGCAAATCAGGGAGACAACAGCCAGTGCTCCACCCCTGCCAACAGCGTGCACAGCAAGTCCAGTAACTGCACCACACCAAAAGAAAAGACTGAGCAGAGTGACCCCTCTGATGACAACCCAGTGGTGTCCTCTTTCTCCAGTGAGTCCTGCCCCAAGAAAGAGACTGAAGAGGTGGAAGCAGAGCAGGAAGAAAGTGAAGTCAATGAAGTCAGCTCAGTGTCAGCAAAAACAAAGCCAAGCCAGTCAATCAGGGGTGAGAGCAGTGAAGGGGAACAATTCTCTACGCAAGGAACCCACCGTTCCAAGGCTAGTGACATGAACAGCAAGAAAAGTGGCAGTGATGAGAACATTCCATGCAGTGTCTCTTGCTCTTCCAGAGGGTCCAGAAAGAGCAAACGCAGCCACATTCATTTGGATGCACAGTCTGAAATATCCGTCTCTTCACTTGAATCCATTCCAAATAAAAAGAAGAGTTCGCTACATGCAGATGATGCAAGATCGGGCAGCAGGGCATCAATTTACTCCAAAAGCTCATGTGAAACCAAGAAAAAATCTGTTGGAGACACCATATCTCATAAGTCAGGATCTCTTCACTCAAACATTTCATCTACCAGTGAAGCAGAGGCAAATGCAGGTCCTGCTGAGGAGAAAAGCTCAAAAAGTACTGCCAGTGGCTGCAGTGAATCCTCAAAAAACTCAAAGAAGAGAAGCCATAAAGCAGAAAGCAGCAAGCCATCATCCCTCTACTCAAGTTTTTCAAGTCCTAATGGAAAAGCTGGAGAGAGTCATGCCAAGATTAGTTCAGAACCTTCTTCTTCAAAACAGGGAAGCATGAGTGGGAGTGTATGTTCAAAAGTTGACCACTCAGCTGAGGATGGCATTAGGAATGGAAAACCTACAAGTAGCTCCTCAAGAGTCTCTTCAAAGTCAGAAATAAAAGATAAATGTGTGTTGACACAGATATCCCAGGAAACTGATGATAGGTGTTCACAGTCAAACATGTCTCTATCTTCAAAATCAAGGCAGACAAACCCAAAAAATCTTCGTGTGAAGGTGTCAAACTCCAGCCGGGCATCGGTGTCGGAGACTATGTCAGTGTGCAGTCTGCACTGCCCTGCCCCACCAAAAGGGAAGCCAAAAAGAAAAAACATGCGTTCAACCATGTTGAAGAATTCCTCCATCAGCAGCATCGGCACCGAGTCTGTGCTGACCGCAGGAAGAGAGCAGAAAGAAATTGTGGATTCCTCCAAAGCAACTTCCTATGGTTCTAAATCCACTGCAGCCAAAGAAGTTGGTCAGAATAATAAAGAGACTGATGCTTTTTGCAGCAAAAAAACAGAGGAAGAGGTAGAAGACACAGGTGTTCAGGAGGAAGGAGGTGATTTAATGCCATCAGCTCTACCAAATACATCTCCAGAAGAAGTTGTGCAAGAATGGCTCAGAAAAATCCCTTCAGAAACGTTGCTTATGAAATACGAAATGGAGGATGACGGAGAGGAGGAATGTGCAGAGTCGACCACTGAGGTATCACACTGTACAAATGCCGAGGAAGCCCCAGAGGAGGAAAAAGCTGAGGAAAAGAATGAGGAGGAGGCTGAAAAGGATGAAGGAAAGGATGAAGCAAAGGATGAAGCAAAGGATGAAGTGGAAGAAGAGAAAGCAGAAGACACAGATATTATTGAAGAGGCTGAAGAATGCGTGAACCAGGAAGAAATCTCTGAGATTGCACCTGAAGCTGCTGAAGCTGAGCAGGCAGAATGCAACAAGTCAGTTACATCCAGCCAAAATAACAACAAGAGAGACCTGCCAACCTCTGTCCAGACGTCTGTCCAGATCATGAAGGCCTTGCTCAGTTCAAAGCATGAGACCAAATTTGACCGATCAAACAGCTTGCCCGAAGTGTCCCCCACAATGGGGAGAAAACTGAGTAATTCCGCTAACATTTTGATTTCTTGTCTTGCCAGCCTTCAGCTCCTTGATGAAGAGTCAGAGGATCCATCAGAAAACTCAAAACATTTGAATAAGTCAAGGTACACAGAGCTGCTAAATATTTTTCAAGCCCTCTGGTTTGGGTGCACTGCTGAAAGGAGCGGCCCAAGTTCAGGCCAAGAGGCAAGCAAGCCGGCAAAGCCAGTGTCTGGGTCTAAGGTCCCAAAATCCATGGATCACGCCTTCACTGCCATGTCCTCCTCTGGGGTTGATGTTTGCAGTGGCTCTGGTGGCTCAGGAGAAGAGTGCACAGCTGGTGCCACATTGGTGGCACAGAAAACCATGGAATGCAAATCAGCCGAGCAAATGGAAAATGCAGAGACTGGCACAGAACTGACTGAGGTTGAGGAGCAAAGTAAAGAGGAAGAGCAGCCATCCCGCCCTTCCACAGCCTGCTCAGAGGCAAAAGGTGAGGGAAAAGCAGAGTCTGCTAGAGAGGAGTCTGTAATCCAGGAGGAAGAAGAGAATAAGGAGGATCAGGGCGGTAACTGTGAGCATGGTCAGGAGGAAGGGGGAGAAAATGAAAATGAAGAAGAAAACAAATCAGCTGAAACTGGAGAACAGGAAAAAGCTGAAGCTGTGAATGACGAAGTCCCACAAGAAAAGCCTGAAGAGGAAGCTGATCAGCCAGAGACCACTGGTGATGCCAATGTTGGTGATGCTGATGTCAGGACAGAGCTGAAAGATGAGTTGCAAGAGCAGGCCCAAGAAAAGTCTCCAAATGACCCTGAGCCCAAAGTCAATACACCCACCATTGTGGACACATCCATTGTCCAGCAAAACTCCGTGGATCCAGACCCAACCTGGGTCCTGAGACTACTCAAGAAAATCGAGAAGGAGTTCATGGCTCACTATGTCAATGCCATGAATGAGTTTAAAGTCAGGTGGAACCTGCAGGACAACCAGCAGATGGATGCAATGATACTGGAGCTGAAGGAGGAAGTGAGTAAAAGGATACAAAAGAGCATAGAGAAAGAGTTGAGGAAGATCAAAAGCAGGGCTGGAAGGAGGATGCCAAGGCCTCCAGAAGAGCCACCCACACGTGAGTCCAAACTCCAAACTGAGCAGAGGAGATGGCGACTTCAAACTATGCATAAAAAGTCCCTCTTTGGAGACAAGAATGGTGCCCAAATGAGGCTGGAGGAGACGTCAGACTTATCATTAGATGTAGACAATGACTTTAACCTTAGTGCAGCCTTGGAGGACAGCATTAACAAACAATCCAGTGAGGAGGAATATTGTCCATGTGACTCCTGTGTGAGGAAAAAACTGGCTTCCAGGCCTGCCAGAGCCCCTGTGGTGGCCACCAATGCCCCAGTCATGAAAGCCTTTGATTTGCAGAAAATCCTGAGGCTGAAGAAAGATGACAATGAGGAAGCCATCGTTGCAGAAGCAGCCCAGGACACCAAAACACTTCCCAATGGTTCTGTGGAGGAAGGGGCAGAAAATGAGGAGAAGGATGAGGAGCAACCTCAGACAGGTGAAAGAGAAACAGAGGATGATGAAGGAAAAGAGCCAGAATTAAATGAAGATGATGGTGCAATGTTGAATGGAGATGGAGAAGAATCTGAAGTAGCAGATAGTCAAAACGCTGAGGTGGAGGATGAGGCCAGAATTGAAGGAACCAAAGAAGAAGCAGAAGAAGGAGGGGAAGAAATGCAAGGAGAAGAAGAGAAAGAGGAAGAAGAAATGGCCAAGGCTGAAGAGGAGGAAATAAAAGAGAAGGATGGTGAAACTAATGAAGATGAGGAAGTAAAAGAGGAAGAAGCAGAAGAAACTAAGGAGGAAGAGGAACTAAATGAGGAGGAAGAGAAGGAAGAAGAAGAGGGAGTGAAGGAGGAAGAAGAAACAAAGGAGGAAGAAGGGAAGGAGGAAGAGGAAGAAGCAAAGGAAGAAGAAGAAGGGAAAGAGGAAGAGGAAGGGAAGGAAGGAGAGGAGGAAGCAAAAGAGGAGGAGGAGGAAGCAAAAGAGGAAGAGGAAGAAGCAAGTGAGGAGGAGGAGGAAGAGGCCAAAGAGGAGGAGGAAGCAAAAGAGGAAGAAGCAAATGAGGAGGAGGAAAAAGAAGAGAAGGAGGAAGAGGAAGAAGAAGCAAAAGAGGAGGAGGAGGAAGCAAAAGAGGAGGAGGAGAAGGAAGTGAAAGAGGAGGAGGAAGAAGAAGCAAAAGAAGAGGAGGAGGAAGCAAAAGAGGAGGAGGAGGAAGTAAAAGAGGAGGAGGAAGAAGAAGCCAAAGAGGAGGAAGCAAAAGAGGACGAAGAAAAAGAAGAGAAGGAGGAAGAGGAAGAAGCAAAAGAGGGGGAGGAAGAAGCAAAAAAGGAGGAGGAGGAGGAGGAGGAAGAGAAGGAGGAAGAAGCCAAAGAGGAGGATGAAGAAGTCAAAGAGGAGGAAGAAGAAGGGAAGGAGGAAGAAACAAAAGCGGAGGAAGAAGCAAAAGAGGAAGAGGAGGAAGGAAAAGTGGAGGAGGAAGAAGCAAATGAGGAAGAGGAGGAAGAAGCTAAAGAGGAGGAGGAAGAAGCCAAAGAGGAAGAAGCTAAAGAGGAGGAGGAAGCACAAGAGAAGGAGGAAGAGGAAGAAGTGAAAGAGGAGGAGGAAGAAGAAGGGAAGGAGGAGGAGGAAGAAGCAAAAGAGGAGGAGGAGGAAGGAAAAGAGGAGGAAGGAAAAGAGGAAGAGGAAGAAGCCAAAGAGGAAGAGGAAGAAGACAAAGAGGAGGAGGAAGAAGTAAAGGAGGGAGAGGACGAAACAAAAGAAGAGGAGGAGGAAGGAAAGGAGGAAGAAGAAGATGCAAAAGAGGAGGAAGAAGAAGTACAGGAGGGAGAGGAAGAAGCAAAAGAAGAGGAGGAGGATGAAGGGAAGGAGGAAGAAGCAAAAGAAGAGGAAGATGTAAAAGAGGAGGAAGCAGAAGAGGAGGAGGAAGAGCAAAAAGAGGAAGAAGAAACAAAAGAGGAGGAAGGGAAGGAGGAAGAAGAAGGAAGAGAGGACGATGAGGAAGCAAAGGAAGATGAGGGTCAAACAAAAGAAGAGCAGGGAGTGGAAGAGAAAGAAAACCCAAAAGAGGAGGAGGAAGAAGCAAAAGAAGAAAAAGAGGGAGAAAAAGAGGAGGAAGAAATAAAGGAGGAGGAGGAGGAGGAAAAAGGGGAAGAGGAAGAACAAGAGGAAGAAGCTCAAAATGAAGAGCAAGAAGCTGAAGAAAAGTCCGAATGTGAAGGTGAAGGTGAAAATGAAGCTGAAGAAGCAGAGGAGCCAGAGGATGAGGAAGTTGTGGCTGATGATGAGGCAGAGACATCAGAATGCAGAGGAGATGCTGAGGGCTCTGGAACTGACAACAATCCTGAAGGAGATGCTGTGGAAGGAAATGAAGAAGCTGAGCAAGATGAAGCTGAGGCAGAAGAAGATGCAAAACCAGAGTCAGGAGATGAGGCTGAGGAGAAAAACAGTGAAGGAGATGAGAAACCTGATGAGAATGGTGAGGAACCCACTGGTGATGACCCTGACAAGGCACATGAGAAACACGAAGACCAAGGCAACAGCAAAGTTTCTGAGAAAGCTTCAAAGCCCAAAGGCAAGAAAACCAGCAAAAGGTTAGAAACTCTGAAAAAATCCACAGCCTTTTCTTGTTATTCTTCTGTTGGAAACTTCTCACAGCAATCCCAGAAGGGGTCTGATGATGAAGAGGAAAGAGTAGATGAAGAAGAAGTAGTCGAAGAGGAAGGAATAGTTGAAGAGGAAGCAGTAGCTGAAGAGGAATGCAAAGGTGATGATAGCCCCGCTAGCGACCACCCCAATGGAGAGGTTCGAAGTGATGAGAGCTCCAAGCCCTCCCAGATGTATCCTGACAGTGAGGAAGAGGAAGAGGACAAAGAATCTTCGGGTTCTGATCCTGTGGGAGATGAGGAGCAGCCAGATACTGAAGGTGCAGAGCCAAAGGAGGCTGAAAACACTGAGGAAGTTCAGTCTTCTAAAAAGAAAGAAAACTCTGATGAGATTGACCAGGATGACCTGGACTTCTAGAACTGCTGACTGAAAACTGACTTTTTCTCTCTTTCTTCCTTTCTTTCTTTTTTAAAAGTACATTTTCATTGCATATTTCATTATCTCTGGTGAGTTGAGCCCTCGTAATTGGCTTTTCTTCTGAGTTAAATGTGGTAAACTCAATCTTGAATCCTGTGAGTAATGTTGCGATTACCTGCCCTCATTTCTAGAGGGCTAGTAGCTCATTAATATCCTGTGGTCTCAATAGGTAAGTGATTTAGGGAAAGAGAAGGCTGTTTTGTTTGGGATAACTTCTAGTTCCCACCCTTTAAGCCACGCTGTTTGCTGCTGGAGTGATCTGTGGCTCTGCTGGGCATCATCTCTGTGTGACTTTGGGATGCCTTTCACCTGTTGCACACTATAATTTCCTGGAGAGATTGCCAATCCACAGAAACATGACAAAATTTGGATTCATTGCCAAAGTCTGGTCAGAGCCCACAGAGATGTACATTCATCTTCGTCCTTACCCTACCTTCCCTATACCCTGTATATTCATCTTTCCCTCACCTACCCCACCTCCTCTGTACCCAGAAAAAAGGGTCTGAGATATCAAAGATTTGCCCCTTTTTCTTTTTTTTTTCTTTTTTTTTCCCCTTTAGTAGATGTTGAGCTCATTCTTCATTTCAATGGAAGCCTCAACATGGAAAAAGGTCTTTCCAGTAGATCCTCTTCCAGACCCCATCTCTCTGTATTATGCTCATCACTGTAGTGGTAGATAAAAAAGATGAGTTAATTCACTCTGTCAGGTCTCTGAGAAGTGGTTGAATGCAATATTGACCAAATTAGGGATAGATCCAATCCCTTGTGATGTCCTTTACTATGCCAATGATGGTATTGAAGCACTTTACAACCATCTGGGATCCCTCAGACAATTTTGCACGAGGCCCTGTTGTGGAGCTAATGGGATTTGCAATGGCTCAGTGCCCCATCCTTGCAGACAAAATTTAAACTAATTTTCCCTTTAACATGGAAAAGCTTTGGGCATTTGTGCTGCAGCAAACAGCTGGAAAAGGCTGAAGCAGTTATTGGAGAGCTTGGACTTTACAAACCACACTAGAACTGCAAACTTCATTTAGCAACTGTTTTTTACCAGATTGTAACTTTTTTCTTTTTTTTTCCTTCCTCTGGGGAAATATAAACATTTCTGAATAAATGCCCAACTAATGCCAGGGAAAGTTTGACCATACCTCAGCTGCATACTCAAGTAAAGCTCTTAGGGACACAGTTCATTTTATCAAAAATTTGCAGGGGGAATAAAACAGAGAGGTTGAAAACAAAATGCCTTAAATCGTATGGAGAAAAAGTATGTGTGTAGTGTTGTGCTGGGTTTGTGAAGATGTATGCAGACATTTAAATAATCAGCATTCCAAACTAAATAATTCCTGTGGTCTTCATTTCTAGAATCCATTTCTTAAACCCACAACCAGAGATAAGATTCATTTCACTCAAATAAAGATCTGGGTTCAGCTCCCAAGACAAACAGTTGTTCAGAGACAAACAATTTTGGGTGTCTGAGGAATAAGGGGAGTTTGGGAGAGGTCAGTGGAGAGCTGGATCTCAGCTGAGCTGTTCCCACAAAGGCGGACAGTGCCTCCAGGGAGATCATCCAGGGACAACAGCACTGTCCTCAAGGTGGAGAAGTTAAAATAACCGTCCCCAAAAGAAGGACAGCCCTATCTGTGAACTTCATGGAATCACAGAATGGTTTGGATTGGAAGGACCCCAAATATCATCTGGTTCCAACCCCCTGCCATGGACAGGAACACCTGCCACTACCCCAGGTTGCTCCGATCCCTCTCCAGCCTTGGACACTTCCAGGGATGGGACAGCCACAGCCTCCCTGGGCAATCTGTGCCAGGGCCTCACCACCCTCACAGGGAAGGATTTTTTCCCAATACCTAACCTAAATCTCCCCTCTTTCCATTTTTACACATAAAGACCATCAAGCCAAACTTAGTTAATCCAGCACTGCCAAACTCACCACTAAACCATATCCCCAGGTTCTACATCATGTATTGAACCCGTTTGGTTTCATAATCAGCTTTGTGACACATCAATTCATGCAGGATTCTAAAAAGAACTGAGCCTGGTTGTCACAGATCTGATCTTGACATGAGGCATAAACTGGACATGGTACATGTTGAGTGAACTCTAAACATTCCTGGTAAAATGTCTCCCCCTGAGCCACGCTCCAGACTCCCATCATAACCAGCAGAGAGAGAGGGGCAAACACTGTGATTCATCTGCTGCAGGCTGCTCCCTTAGGAGGAGGGGGCTACACTGCCAGCAGGTACATTTCTACCTGCAGAGTGCACAGGGAGCCTAGACAACTTCCTCAGAGGAAAATCACCAAATCCCACAGTTATTAGGTTGTAAAAGACCTCCAAGACAATCAAGTCCAACCTGTGACTGATCCCCACCTTGTCACCCAGCCCAGAGCACTGAGTGCCACGTCCAGCCATTCCTGGGACACCTCCAGGAGTGGGGACCCCACCATTTCCCTGGGCAGCCCCTTCCAAAATGTCTCATATGGGAAGAGCTGATCTCACTGTAGCTACTCTACAGCATCTTACTTTGATGACTTTCAGGCCACAGCTCAAGCCAGTTATCCCATGGAATTTTTAAAAGTGGAGTTTTTTTGGCTCCAAGATCACAAGGGGAAAGGCTTCAAACTGAAAGAGTTTAGGTTGAATATTAGGAAAAAGTTATTCCTGTGAGGGTGTGAAGCCTTGGCACAGGTTGCCCAGGGAAGCTGTGGATGCCCCTGGATCCCTGGAAGTGTCCAAGGCCAGTCTGGATGGGGCTTGGAGCAACCTGGGATAGTGGAAGGTGTCCCTGCCCATGGCAGGGTGTTGGACTGGATGAACTTTAATGTCCCTTCCAACCCAAACCATTCTGGGATTCTGTGATTGCCTTTCTGTGCAGTTGCTAAAAGGCACTGCTGGAACTTAACAGGTTAGGGAAAGGGCAAACATTTCCCAGGATTTATCTTGCAGCTGCTGACTTTGATCACTTTAAAGCTGCTTACACAGTCAACGCCACGCCCTACTCGTGTTGAATCAGTCAGTTCCTCACCTGCAGCACGGGTAAGGAGAAAGAAACTAAAAGCAACACAAAAATGCAGTTGTCAAACCATGAAAACTGAAATCACCAAAGTTCCTGCCCAGGAGACCTGTCCCACTCATATCTGTGTTTGTCAGCGTGTCTGGGCAGTGACTCACACATATGCCTGCCATAGTCAGGGCAGAGTGAGCTCTGCTCACCAAAATCCCCACTCAAGAGGGGCTGGGGAGCAGCCAGTGGGGATCCAGAGAGAGATGTTGCTGAAGGAGGTGTCTCCTTCCTCCACTAGTTTCACCCAGGATCACCCAGAGCATCCATGAAGGAAGCAACCAGCTGAAAAGGATCCCTCGCAGTCACATCCCTCACGCTTGCACGGCTTCCAACGTTTGCATTTCCCCTTGGCTGCTGTGACTCAGGCGCCTGTTGGGTCTTGCAGCTTCCCTTCTCCCTCTGACAGCACGGGAACGTGTTCCCAGCCAGGTTCAGGGCTGTCACGTTCATAGGGGCTGGGAAGATCACTCCTGTCACCACCTGGAACGGATTACAGCTGCTGTCTTTCAGCGGGGCTGAGGAGGAGGAGGGAGCAGAGGTGATGCAAGACTTGCACAGCTGTACTTCGTGCTTTCCTGTGCTCCTCTGCCTGGCTTGGGGGTGGTTGTTTTTGTTTCTTTACCAGCCAGACAAATTGCTTCTTGATGTGCCTCGGTTCTGTTTGCCTGCTTGCTTTTGAAATGGGAAATATCCAGTGAAAGATGAGGAGGAGCGTGGTGAAAGCTCAACACAAACGATGGAAATGAAGGAAATGTGCTTTCCAAGGCTGAGGTCTTTGCAGACGTGTGTGAGCAGACTCCTCTCACTAATGGAGAGCAATAATCCCCCTTTCCTGGTGGCTCCTTGTTGACACAGTGCCATATTTAGCTCCAACCACTTGAAATCCCAGCTGCCTGACAGGAAAGGGTGGTTTGTGGTTATTTCTGGACCTCAGGCTCCTCCATTAGGTTTTTCTCTGGAGGGCAGGGAGAGTTTCCAAGCTGGCTGTGGATGTGCCCTGCAAGCTCCCTCTTTCTTTTAACTGGAAGGTGGAGAACTTGCACTGCAGGGCTTGGTTGCTCCTTAGCAAAGTGCAGGAATCAGCGCTCCTCCTGGATGGGATGGGAACACTCAAATCAAATGTGTGATGCACACATCAAGCTCCAGGCATTTGGGAGGTGCAGTGTTTTCCTCCAAAAGTGTGACACTCCTTTCCTGGGGGCAAATCCATCAGTCCCACTGCTCCTCCAGAGAGGCACTTCCTCATGGATGCAGGAGGAGTGATAAGGAAGTGGGATAAAGGATACACGAAAGCTGGTTTAAACTCTGACCAGGCACTACATCCTTGGCCACACTCCAGTTTGACCTGCTCCAGGTAGGATACCTTGAGCCAAACAGTTGGGAAAGGGTGTCTGAAGAAGGCTTGAAACAAACACAGGCTTCTTGGGGGCTGCAGGATCTCCTGACATCTCTTCTGTTGGAGCTGCCTTGCTTTTGGCGAAAAATTTTCCCAGAGTTTCAGGATAAACTCAGCAGAGAGAGAGTGCTCATTCTGCACTTCTGAATGGTGACTGACCCAGTCTTTTATATCCCAGGAAAATGCCAAACACCAAGACATCTCCTGTGTCCATCCAGCACAGCCTTTCCCCCTCAGCTGGGGACTCCCTAATTATTCCAGTCCTTACTTTTTTGGTGTGGTCAGCTAGGTGTGTACACATCCTCTACATGCCAGGGAAAGAGAGGGATTATTTAGGGAGGAATTCCTGATATTCCAAGCCTCATGCTAAAGGCAGAAGAGGTATTTTCTGCGATTCTCTAGAAAATAAGAAGCCTGGGGATGTTTATTTTCTCATGCCCCTAAGCCACAGACCCCTTGACCTTGTCAG